CTCTATAAATGCAAACACCCTCTAAGTGCAAAATTTTAATTTTTTTCACTATGGTCCCGACAGGATGCACTTAGGGAAGTGTGACTGTAGTTACAAACATAATTAAGTCCTATGGTAAATTCTAATAAAAATTATATTTATCAGGTTTATTTTAAAATGCTCTTTTTTTTTTACTTATAAAACATTCGATTTTAATAATTAAAAAAAAACGATACTTTAAAGAGCATGTCAAAATGAGGTTGAAATTATTATTATGTGTGGGCTTGAGTTATTGAAGGTTGAATTATTGAAGATTGAATTATACATGTTTTTTCTATTACTAGGCTTGCTGTGCCACTCACTTCAGTGGTATAACCGAAAAAAATTTTTGTTTCGGCTTGTGTTCGTTGACCGTCCATTATCCCGAAATGTTCCGATATTATTCTATCTAACGAAATTTTGATCAATATGTAACCTTTTGTTATCTAAAGAGATGCGATAATCAGTTATGCAGATTATGCAGATCCGCGCGTGGGGCTGGATCACACAGATAAAACCGAGCTTTTCAAAGTTGTCTGATTAACTATTGCTATGATTCGATCGCTGACTACCACCAGAAGTTTCGCTAGAAGAGCGTCGCTGGTACATATGTATTTTCCAAGTATAACGCTAATGTCTTAAAGAACTTTCGGATTTCCACGGTTGAACCTATGAGTTGGTTTATTCTATAGCTCTCTAAAGGCCACCAAAAACGAAATCTTGCGATACACGAATACCTGTCTATGGAACTTTTGAATAAATATGGTGTAAATACACCAAAGGGTGACGTCGCAAGAACACCTCAAGAGGCATTCGAGGTGGCGAAGAAATTAGGTATCTTCTAAATAGAATTTTATTCCTATTACTTATCTCCGATTCAAAATATGCAATCGGTTTGGTTAAAAGGTACCGAGGACGCTGTAATTAAGGCACAGGTCCTTGCCGGCGGTCGTGGTAAGGGTGTTTTTGAAAGTGGTCTTAAAGGCGGTGTTCGAACCATCTCTTCGTACGTAATTCATAATGATAATGCCAGCTTGAGACTTATATAATAAAATATTATTACTTACATGTTCTATTTTTTTCTTAGTCCAACTGAAGCTGAAATGTTTGCTAAACAAATGTTGGGTTATAAGCTCATAACAAAACAGACCGGATCAGCTGGAAAAATATGCAATTCGGTATAATTTTGTACTTATTATTGTTTCTATATTATTTACTTAGGCATGTTCAAATCGGATCCCTCAACCATAGGTTTATGTTGTTGAACGCAAATTTGTCCGTCGTGAATACTATTTCGCTATTCTTCAAGATCGAAAAACTCAAAGTCCTGTTATTGTCGCTTCCTCTCAGGGTGGTGTCGACATTGAAAGCGTTGCGGCTGAAAATCCAGAAGCCATTTTAACATTAGGTGTCGATGTCGATGATGGTTTGAAAAAAGACGATGCCCTGTCTTTGGCAGAAAAGTTGGGCTTTTCTCCGAAAGTTCGCGATGAGGTGATCCAAATGAATTAATCTAAATTACATAGACATTTAATTAAAATTAATGTGTTAACAGTACATTTTTTCAGGCCGCTGATATGATGCAGAAACTTTATAAGCTTTTCATAGACAAAGATTGTACGCAAGTAGAAATTAATCCGATGGCCGAATCTGTAGAACATGAAGGTAGTAAGTTTATTTTGAATTGTAGCAACAAATATAATTGTATATTTTAAATTATTCCCGTAATTTAGTTTTATGCATGGATGCAAAACTTAATTTTGATGATAACTCGGAATTCAGACAAAAAGATATATTTGCCTTACGTGATACCAGTCAAGAAGATTCACGTGAGGTTGCCGCTGCAAAATATAACTTAAATTATATTGGTTTGGAGGGACGAATCGGCTGTCTAGGCAATTATTGAAATTATCATTTCGTGATTTCTATCATTTTATGACAATGATGATTTATCATAACACAACTTTTTAGTGAATGGTGCCGGTTTAGCAATGTCAACTATGGATATTATTAAACTGCATGGTGGCGAACCAGCAAATTTCTTGGATGTTGGTGGTGGTGCTACTGCAGAGCAAGTGACTGAAGCATTTAAAATAATTTCATCAGATCCGCAAGTTACTGCTATTTTGGTTAACATTTTTGGAGGTATCATGCGTTGTGATATTATCGCTCAGGGCGTTATTCAAGCTACTTCACAACTATCATTGACTATACCCGTAATTGTGAGATTGCAAGGTAAGTATTTATTTACGACTTATTTATTTTTGAAAGTGCTATTCACTTAATTTGATTGGAAACAGGTACTAAAGTTGAGGCGGCCAAGAAACTTATAGCTGAATCCGGGTTGCGTATAATCTCTGTTGATGATCTTGATGAGGCAGCTTCGAAATCTGTACAATTATCAAAGATAGTTGAGGTTGCAAGAGAAGCAAATATTAGAGTTTCTTTCGAGCTAGCTATATAATTAATTTATTTGATTCAACTATTTTTTAATCTTCACCATTGGTATATTTCAATAGACTTACTGCTGATTTTTGTTTATCAAATATTAGAGCAGATTACTCCGAATATTAAAAAATGCTACTAAAAATTATTTCAAATGTCGTGCTTATATATAATTGTAATTCCGATTTTAATAGTGACAGACACATGATGACGATCCCAGTCCGGTCTATAGTAAAAATAAAGTTATTATTACATTTTTTTCTCAAACTTTAAACGAATAGAATCGTGTAACTATGGTATGGTGTACTTTACGAAATCTAACCAATTATACTTGATTCAATAATTACTGAGGCATGCATGTACAGTTATACTTGCCGGCAAAAACCATAATTTCCGGCAAATATAAAGTATCTAACGCTAATATCAATATCTGATACACATTTACAGTGACACAAAAGATTTAAATTTTGAATCGTTGCATCTAATTAATGCAAAGACCTATTTATAGTATAGCGAAGCACAAATTAATAACTTAATAATGCTGCCGTTGTTTGATGCGACATGCATGATAGCATGGTTTCACCATCTGCCAATAAAGAATAACCTTTAAAGTTGTACTTGTTCTTCCAGTAGCAACAATTGAAACACTCTCTTTTACACTTTTAACACCCAAAGTCAATCTATCTTAATAGCTTTCGTTTCTAAAGGATGGCTGTTCAAGAATCTGCTACACGCATCAGTCAACTACTACCGTCAATAAACTGTGCTGATTGTGGGCAAACGGTGGAGTTTCGAAAACTTGGAGAACATATATGTAAGGCAGCCCCTGCCGTTCCCGAATTGCCAAGTTTTTACAAGAATAGTGGCAAAAAACCAGGTATATTATTAATAAATTTATTTTCTTTCAATGTTAAATATTATAATTTCTTTTTTCTTTTTTCTTTTTAGGTAACGATGTATCAAGCATAAAAAAACCAACTAATAACTCGAGACCGAACATCGACCTTTCTGCTACCGGTACATTATTTTCAGGCTATTAGACTTTGTTTTATTATATGCCTATTAATCGTTATCTCTTTCTAGATGAGAACTTACGTGATAATCGTCTGTCACCCCGATCACCCTCACCTTATGATGCTACACCATCTCCAACCGATTCCGGATATTCCAGTTATTCTACAAGCTCTCCAAACGGAAATAAACCTTCTCTTCCGTTCATGCAAAAATATCAACAAGTCACTGGAAAACCAGTCAATTCGCCATCTGAACAGAGAGATCGACTGCAGAATATAAGCGGAAGTAGTTATTCTAGCAAATTTTCAAGTAATTCTGATAACTTTGACGAGGTAATGCAAAAAACCAGACCGCATGACGCATATGGATCGTCAAATGAGAGTCGTGGTCAAAGACAGGATCGCTATTTGCGAGGCCCTAATGATGTTTACCGAGAAGAGGAGCGTAGTCGGAGCAGATCACCTGCAGGATATGACCGCTCCGATGATCGAACTGATTACAGATTAAAATTTTCCCAACCTTCAAATGGCACAAAAGATTACGAACAGCACTACAAATCCCCCTATGGCCAACAAGATAACAAATTGCCGTATGGATATGATGATTCTGGAACTCGGCATCTTCACAAACATTCACAACCATATGTACCACCGCTGTTCGATAAGGGTGGCAAAGATCATAGAAAAAATGAAAGTTCATTATCATCTTTAAATTCTAGTACATCCGGCCGTGGTACGTAGGTTTTTGAATATTGATCATCAATTTTTATATACAGGCTACTCTTTACAATCATACCTCTAGTTCTAATAAATTTATGCTTATAAAAAAGAATTAGAGATCAAATTTTCTATGTGATTGTATAGAAGCAAGACTGCATTATATTTTTGATTTAATCTGATCTTGTTTTGAATTACAGTAAGGTACCCGGATACGACTAAAGGAATTTCTGATGACTCTAAAGAACTTCTCGATGGAGGATTTGATGATTTGATGGAAGTCTTAATGAGAGAGATGGACAATATGCAAACACCTTCCTCACGAATCGATGGTAGCGGAGGACAACATTTGGGCCATATGAAAAATAAGAGTTCGTCTGGAAGGAAAGAAGTTCATATTTGTGCTTATTGGTGTGTATTAATTGTGTGCTTGTAATATTTTATTACATTAATATTTTCATTATTGCTTAAACAGTCAATTACTTTATTTAGCAATTCACCAATTGATTCTTCTCCAATGTGGGCACTTAATAAAGCGTGGCATTCACATCACCTTCTCTGTACACAATGTCATAAGCCTATCGATCCAAACGTTGGCCACGTTGAAAAAAATGAGAAGGTATACTGTCCAAGTGATTTTGCTAATCTATTTTTACCAAAGTGTCGCAGGTGCAATCTACCAGTAGAAAGAGAAGCTGTAAGTGCGAGTGATGGAAAGCTGGAAGGAAAATGGCATGTGAAATGCTTCAACTGTCATGTAAGAATCGGGTTTATAATTGAATTATTGGCTTTAACTTGAATTCTGAAACTTTCATAAATCACTTTTTTAGACATGTAGCAAACCATTTCCAGACAAATCTTTTTATGTCTTTAACAACGCGCCATATTGTAAACGACACTATCATAAACTGAACAACTCACTCTGCAAAAATTGTGATGACGCTATTGAAGGACCTTGTGCGCAAACAATTGAAGGGTGGAGATATCATCCAAGGTGCTTTGTTTGCTACGTAAGTATTATAATTCATCGTTTACTTATGATTGTAATTTATATTAAAAAAAGTACAGTTGCACATCGACATAAACTCTTGATATAAGCACACATATCTTCAAACCCGATTACTTTATATGTTCTTAACTCCCTTTATAACTTTTTACAAAAATTACTACGATCCAGATGGCATTATTATTATTAACAATTACTAATTTGAATATTACATATTTAGAATTGTCGAGAGCCTCTCACAGATATTTACTATAGCTTTGAGAATAAACAATACTGTGAAATTCACATACTGGAAATCCAACGTAGGCGCAAAATTAGAGCAGAAAAGAGAAGAACGCTATTTCAGAATATTTGAGGCAGTGTTTTTGGATTATCCGCACTTTTGTACTTATTTGAACTTTGTTTAAACTTAGATTATTTATTTAAAATATATGCATTTTGTTATAGTTAACTACATTTCTCAAAAATTTATTCATGGTTACCTTATTCAATTTGGTAATCATTTTTTGATTTGGCATTGAAAAATTGTTAATACGCTTTACTTTTTATCATTTTTATTCAGTGATTATATGATATAATATTTGATGATGCATATTATATTTTGTTTTAATATTGAATTTTAAAACAAATATTATGGTTATTGTATTTGTATCTTTGTATATATCTAATATAGTGTAATTAATAGTTTTATTATTAGTAATATTGAATTTTACTAGTATACAGTACTTGGGTTTATATTGTTTAAATTTTTAAATTGGTGTTGCTATACGTATTAATTAAAAATATTATATAAAATGTTAAAAAATAAAAATTTAAAAACTTAATTAGGTATCACACCTCTGCAACGTGTTTATATATCACATCTTAACAATTTCTGATGTATAAATTAATTTTGTGTAACAAAAATAAAGAATTTTTTTTTTAAACTATAATAAAAAAATTTTTTTGCAAAATTTTAGCATATACTGTATTAAGTCTTATTCTAATTGCTAATCTCTAAAAGCCAAAAATTAGCTAATTTTCTAGAAAAAAGAAATAAAAAAAGTTAAAATCATATATAAAAATCTGATTAAAAACAAAAAAGAGTAAATTTTTGGCAAAATAAAATTAGCTAATTTATAGTACTACTCTAAGTTTAATTCTTATCTTAATCAATTAAATTTTGATCAAATAGGTGAAAAATTTACCCCTATGTGTGTGTTTTTTTTTTTTTTAAATAGTCTTGTCTTTATTTGGGGCTATTCAGTAGAAAGGAGGAAGATCTACTTTTTGACTAAAAAATTTTTATTAGCTTATTAAATAAAGTATAGTCAGATATATAATTTTAATAAAAAGTTAAATTATGCCAGTTTAATAATTTTTTAACTTTTATATATAATTATTACTATCTAGTATTGTATATAGTACCCAGTATAACATGACTTTTTATATAGTAAAAAATTAGAAATCATGTATATTACACAATTTTTTTTTTTTTTTTCTCTTTAAGGTAACCTCTTTGGTCGGTGAATTTTATTATAGTTAAATCAGGGTTAGTAGTATTTACAATGATTTTAACTATATATATTACAACCCGCCTTAGGACTATCTTGATCATCCTTGAGATAAACCTGACATCGCATTACATGTTCCATACATGATAGTGCATGCTCGTTCGGTAATTACTTCCCAATTAGTACATATTGTCTGCTGTCATTGTGTTCGTATCTCAAGCCATCTTTTGGGATGCTGCCATAACACAATCTGTATCTCAAGTACAACCTTCCTAATTAGTCCTTCATTACTTTACTTCTGCCCTTATTAAGTTCATAACCAACCCCAGTATTGACATTTTCTGACACATGAGTTCGGCTCCAGAGACATCACTTCTTCCAATTTAGTTAGACTGTGGAGTCCCCTCATCCTCCAATGGCCAGGTTGGTGTAACCCCGCCTATAAGGGTTATGATCGCCAGGCCTCTAGTTGAGTTCTCAGTATAGTTTTAACTCTGAAGTTAGCCACTAATCTTAATTCAGGACTTCCCAAACGGGTTCCTGTATGCGAAAGAGATTCCTAAGATTTACACAATCTTGGACTTATTAAGAGTTTGCACCGCCCTAAGCCGGTTTGCATTCTTTCGTGGTCTCTGAGTTTCCTCAGTTGTATGAACGCCAGCGGATCTTCCAGAAATACTATGCCCTGGTGTGACTTAAGTTACAGATACCCTAATCCAATCATCTTATACAGGTTATCGAAACACAAATCTATTTTTCAAAATCATTGTCCGTGGGATTTGAACTCTAAACCTGCCGCTTGGAGAGGGTGACGACTAGACCACTTTACTAAGCTGCCACACCTCTGTATATTACACAATTGTTTATATTGCATAGTATATATAAATAATACTTTAAAAAATTGATCTATATTATTTGTTACAAACAATTGTTATGATTTACAAAAACATGATTTTTTCAAAATTTTTAATCAAATTTAAATGAAAATTAGCTCCCTTTCTACTAAATAAACCTTATAGTTTATGTTACTTATAGTTATTAAAAAAATTCATATAATTTCAAATAACATCTTGTTTTTTAATTTAAGTAGTATTAAAAATATAAACTATAAAAATAATAAATCTAAAGCTTCTCATTCAGATTTATAGTTTACTTTTTTTAATCAGTTGTTAGGGGCATACCATTTATTATGTGATATTTTTTACTTAATAGTTATCTCTAATCATGTATAATGTGATAACTTTATCTAATTTTAATTGGTTAATATTAGGCTTCTGCATGGGCCAGGTAGAGCCGGGTACTAGTGATACTCTTACCCTACCTGTTTGTATGTAGGCCAATTTATCTGAGCCCTACCCTTACCCTAGGGCTAAAATCCTAGTACCCATACCCAGCCCATTAGGATGCGGGTACCCTTTAAACTACCCATGGGTCCTGTCAAAAATATAAATATACGGTTTCAATTATTTATTTTGTATAAACTTTAAATAAAGTCGTACTGTGTATAAATAAGAATCAACACTTTAGCTTGAATTAAAAAAAAGAAATAAAATCTGATAATTATTATTGTATGATAATAATAACAAGAAAATTTAAAAGTCATACAAAATTCAATCTGATAAGAATTATTATATGATTCTAGAAAATTAAATTGTTCGTTACTGAAAGAATCACGAAATTTCAAAGTAAAAGAATAAAGAGTTTTAGTATATAGTCATTCTCCTCTATAATAATGCTGTTTGTTTTACATAAAAAGTATAGGATTATAAAATTTTAATTGTAATGTGATTATATAAAGTTTTTTTTAATAATATATTGTCAATGATTTTTTAAAAAATGGTGCTTATAAAGAAGGTGAGATTATATAGTAGAGGAGGACGACTGTAATTTGTTGGAAATATCTTTTTCACAGTTACAATAAGTTTTAAGAGTTGTACAAGAAAACACTGCATGTTCCAGGATAATAATTTTTGACTATTATTAGTTGATATACATGTCATCAGAAGTAATATTAAAGAAATTAGGCAATAAAAATCTGCGATTGAATAATTTATTTCAAAACTTACTTGTTGTTCAAGAAAAGACAATGTGTAGGAGGAACTGTTCACACATGTGATGATCAATGCATTTCTCATTATTCAATTTTTAGAATTATTATGAAAGAGTTAAAATTGTAACGGTAAGGTAAAATTTTACAAAAAAATCGTATGTATGTATATTATACTTGATCTTAAAGTCGATCATCACATGGCAGCAACATCCTGATGCTGTTATTGTTCAAATTACAATTGTATGAAAATCTATTAAAATAAAAAATTACATAAAACTTCGTAATTTTACTATCTTACCAAAGCAAAGCAAGTTTATTTGTTATTTTTTGATTCTTCATATTTACATTTAAATTTGAAAAAAATCAAACTAATTTGTGAAGTTCTATTAATTTTGCTATAACATTTATCTATCCACATTCAAATCTACCCCAAAAAAGAAAGATTCACAAAGCAAACTAGATAAAAAAAAAAAATTCGTTAACAAATTTATAAATCCCAACCAAACTTATCTGCTATATCTAACCAATTTCTTTGGCACATTAATGCTGCTATTGTATCTGAGTTTAATAAAGTATAACTATCATCAATAATACGACCTGCATAGCTAAACATTTGTTCTGATGCAACGCTTGAAGCAGGTATTGCAAGAAAATCCCGTGCCATTGCTGATAGATTAGGAAATCTCTCTATATTATGCTTCTACTATTCAAGTATGTTGGTAGTTTTCTGATTAATTAGTTCATCTAAATACCATTTTACTTCACAAAGCGGATCCTTTTTGCTTATCCAAGTCTGCTTTGCAGCATATTTGAAGAAATCATCAATGTGGTTTTCAAACATTGATACATCATTTTGAATGTTAATAGCAACTTCATTATCACGATCAACAGTTGAGGAATACGTACGAAGATATATATCTTCAAATCTAATTTTAATAATATTAGAAATAAAAATAAACATAAGTGTATATATAATAAATATTCATACTTCATTCAAATATTCTGTATTTTTTTATCAAGATCATATGGTAACAATTTTTCCTTTTCATAGTAATAATATGAAATAAATTGCATTTTGTAACGAGGATCTAGAATACATGCGATCATATGTAAGAGAATGTTATCTTCCCAATACTTATTAAACTTTTCAATCATGGGCTGACTAATATCACGAATAAAGCTATCTGAATAAGATTTCATACTCATAAGATGAGTACGAATATTCCAAACTAAAGCAAGGGAATTGTTAAGAGTTGGGTATAAATTTGCTGACACTTTCAAAGTATCTATTTTTATTAAAAATTTTTTAAAAATTAGTCTAGTTATTCGTATTAGTTTTCTTAATTCGATTATTTTATTGTACAGTAATTATATCCTTTTTTTGAATTACAAAATTTACATTTTTATAATACATACATTCATAAAAGGGTCTTAATATATTGGTAATAGCCTCTGCATTTTTCCATTCCTCATTATCGGGTATATCAGGAAATGTTTTATCTCTGTCTTTCATTCTAAGAATCACACTTGTAACTCATGCAACTGATTGTAACATTAGAAATGTCGAGTTCCACCGCATATTGTAGTCTAATGGCGGAACTACAGGTTTTAGAGATTTAGATTCACAAATGTCTAAAAACATTTGACGCCTTTTTGGTGATGTATGTATTGCTTTAACGCAACTACGAATCTAAACAAATTTAATAAAAGTATTATATATTACTATATGCTAACTATTACAGTATATTATATTAAATAAAAAATTAATATTGATTTTTAATTAAGTATATAATTACCTTTCCAATAGCTTTGGCGATTTTTTTTAGACCATCTTTTACGATAAGATTTAGGATATAGGCAAGGCACCTGTTATGAAAAAGCTCCTTATCGATTTGTATATAAGAGTCTTGAGAAATGAGATCGGCTAATTCATGAATTGCAATATCATTTGATGCGGCATTGTCAAGAGTAATGGTTTGTAACTGTAATAACAAAGTCATTAATATTTAAAAAATAACCTACTTAAAACTATGTTAAATACAAGTTAAAATGTCCAGACTTATGCAATTTTAAGGATTTTTCATTGTTTAAACAATGAAAAATCCTCAAAATCACATAAGTCTAAACATTTTAATACAAGTATGAAAATATAAATCACTTTTTAACTACCTTAGTAGTAATAAACTATTCATCTATTTCCACCTTAATACAATTGGCAATATTAATTCCAGTATATAGATAAGGAATTAATAGGAATGATAATAACATTGAAATAAGATTCCAATTCTTATCAAAAAAATGTACTGTAACCGACAGATATCCAAGTTGCTGAAGGGACGTCCAAGCATCACAGGTAAGAGAGATTTTACCTTCAGCATTTTGAAGGATTTCTTTAATCAATGTTTTTCTTTTATTGTAAGTTTTTATAATGTCTTGCTTTATTGTATCAGCACTAATACTAATAGTCCATCAATAAGCTTACAAAAGCCCCAGCCTTCTATAAACTGGAAACTCAACTCATCCAAAACTACCATATTGGCGATATCTTTTCTAGTTGACTCTTTCATATATAGTCTTTTTTTTGTTTGAATATTAAATCTTAATTGAGTTTGACCATCAGATGAATTTGGTTTCGAACCATTATTATAATATAAGAACTTTTGGTACTTAAGACAGGCATCAAAATGACGCCGAAGGTGAGATGTTTCACTTCCTTTTTTGTGACTTAAAAGCTTATTACAATAATTACATTGGGGTTTTCTTCATTTTTTTCATTAGTTACTTTTGAAAACCTGTTTCATATAGCAAATGTATGCTTTGATAATGCAAGTTGACTAGAGGTTTCACTATAAGTTTGGCTGATGGCTCTATTAGTAGTTTTATTAGTAGTTGAGCCGTTAATCGAGACAGTATCCAAGTCAGAGACAGATGCTAGTACAAATGATGTTGAAGCAGAGTTAATATTATAGTTATTGACTTTATGGATATCTATGGGGTCATCCATATTAGCAGGTTCACTGTAGTTAGAGTCATTTATATTTGCAGGATCATTATAGTTATCCCCGGGGTCATCCATATTAATGCATTGGTAGTGTTTGGTAAATGTTTAATGTTAATTAATTTTTCAGAAAAGTTTTATTATACTTATAATAAAAATTGCAGTAATTAATTATAACATACCATGGCTTAGCAGTTTTTCACTAGTCTTATTGGTAAGTACGTTAATACTTTAATGTGTTTCTACCTTAATATTCTAGTAGTACTTTAATGTGTTGATACTTTAGTGCATTGATACATAATTTAGTACGTAATTTAGTATGTTGGTGCGTACCTTAATACATTGATACTGTTATAGTGTGTTGATTTAGTAAATTAGTAATCTAGGTGTTAGGCGTTGGTAATTTAAAGTATTGGGCATTGGTAATCTAGAACGTTGGGCATTGGTAATTAAAAGTGTTGGGCGTTGGTAATTAATAGTATATTTGGTGTTGACAATTTAGCGCGTTGTATTAGTTATCGATCGTTAAGTGGGATAAATTTCCAAAAAATGTAAGAATTATTAATCATACATATATATGTATTATGCACCTGTATTATGATTGGTTGGTAGTCACATGAAATATGGTAACAGGTATCTGTGGGCAGTAAGCAGTATTACTTAAGCCCTACTCAGCTTTGTAAGGGCTCAGCACCTGGGGCCTTTACCCTTATTTACAGGCCCAGAAATTGGTATCCCGGCCTGGCCCTTATGGTACTACCTATGGATAGCCCAGGCCCATGTGGAAGCCTAGTTAATATCATATATAGACATGATCATTACCTTTAACTATGTATCTATAGTAAAAATTATATGATAAATGGCATGCCTCTTATTTGGTGAAATATTTAAGTTTAAAATTAAGTGGTTTCTCAAATTTCAGACTAAAATATAATTTTTTCTTTAGTGATATGAAAATTTGATTAATAATAATCAAAACATATGATTAAAATCTATAAAAATTTTAGAAATTTTGATAAGTATAGGTGATATAAACTATATTTATTGTCGCAGATTATTGTGAAATCGAATTATCATGAAATTTGGGATCTTAATTTGAAAATATTAGCCCTACCAAAATCCATCTATACTCTTTTATTAATAATTCTAACTCTAAATCCTAACTTAACTATAAAAAAAAAGCTTACAAAAAAGGTCCAAAAAAATTTAAAAATTGTACATAAAATAAATTTAAAATTTTACAATGATCTGATTTCACAATAATCTGTGATATTTATTTAAACTACTATTTAATTAATATATAAGCATACTGTTTTTATAGCTAATTTAAAAAAGACTTACTAGGCATTTTATTTAGTATAATTTACAAAAACAACAATTTATCTTTCTAAGAATTTTGTACTATATAGATACCTGTTTAGTTATTAATTGGCTATTGTTTATTATATCAAAACTTTAACTAGCAAGGATATGCTAATTTGTTTTTTTATAAAATCTATTTTTTAATTAATTTTTTTTTCTTAATTACTTAAAGTTTTTTTTTTTTAAATCTGATCTTTTGTCTTTTGGCTTTTTTTCTTTTTTTTTTGGGTTTTTGTTTTTTTTATCAAGTTTTCTTGTTTTTTTTTTTTTTCTTGCTTTTTCTTTATTAGCAAATTTAATAGGGCATAATATTAGATAATAAATTTTTTTTTTTTTTTTTTAACTTCAACGATTTTGTCATCTATCTAAGCAGTTGTTATAACTTCACCCAGCTACCCTATATAGTGCTCAGATGCAACCGTCTGCACCATCTCATGTGTGAGATGGACATCCTTAGGTACTTCTATCAAGCACCCTAAGTTCTGATCTAACTCAGAACCTTAATATTTTTTACTAATTCGTATATACTTTGCTATATATACTACTGTACAACGTCTACCAGTTATAATTCATCTCTCATCACTTATCATATTACTCCTAATTCGTTTCTTGTATAATTTCCAAATTGGTGTCCTAGAAGTGGGTGCTCTTCTTGTTTCCAGTTTGGTATCTCTCAAGATGTTACTTCAGTTTCTAATCTGTATCTCAAGCCAGGTGCTGCCGCTATCCGAAGACCCGTATCTTAAGCTACCTGCTACCACCATTAGGAGAGCTATTCGCATGGTTCCAGATATTCACGTCATACATCTCCAAATTAGACTACTGCTCCTTTTATAGTACTCCCTATCAGTATGGTATTACAGAAGTCTAGATCTTTAGAATGGAAGTTAAGTATCTCAGTAACCCAGGACCCACGCTTCTGCTATGTTTCGTTATACTTCCATGACTTCTATATAGGTTGTATGACACATTACTCACTAGCTGACTTTATTTTTGTACTACTGAAGCACTTGCTTCCATGCTTTTCAGGTTTTTTTTAGCCGGTTTTCCTTGTTTCCTTGTGCCAGAGGTGTTCCATATTTGGTAAAGCTATTCTCTTACCACAGCCCCTTACTATGTTCACTGCTTCTCTCACCACTTCTGAATATATTGCATACAGCCGTCCTCCCAATCAAGATCCCAATGCCGACTTAAAGTTGTTGGTGCTACCTTGCCAATCATGGATTCACACACACAGCCTTTTGTAGTATTTTCTTCTGTGACCTATATTACACACAGTACCTGATCTTTCCATGGCTCGGAACTCCTTCCAAGAATTCTTTATTGGCCAAATATGTACTTTACATGGTCTTACCACTACAGGGTTCCACATTCAAAAGCCCTTAAAGGTTACAGAGATAATTAATTAAATTAATTACTATTAGCTATAATTAAACTGTCAACCTCGTCTATGAAAGGTTAGGCGCCTAGACCACTAGACTATGGAACCCTAACCTCATTACATAATAAATTATGACCTGTAAAAAAGGCATAATATAATATAAGATATTTCGAAATCTTGCAAAATATTAAATTACGAAATATTATATAAGATATTATATAAGATATTTTATACAATAAAACAAAATAGAAAGCAAAATTTTACAACAAATTTATAGATAGTAAATTAAATTGCATTAATTCAAACATGCTTAAAGATAATAACAATAAGCAAAATTGCTAAGTGTATATTATAAAAAAAATTTAATATTTTAGAAATTTAAATTAGAAAATTACTAAATATATTATCCCTTAAATTGTAACACAGGCAAATTTGCCTGTGTTTTTATTAAAAAGTTTAATTTTTTTAATAAAAA